GGAAGAAAAAAAACACAACTGCAAATGAATCTTAGGCACGCCTGAAGCGTGGAAGATCAGCCGGTTCCAAAGATAAAAATCCTTGAAAATGAAATAAAGCAAATACAATTGATGGTCCAAAAGAGAAAACAGAATCTCTGGAAAAGATTAATGAAGCTCTAGAAGAGCCTAATGACATAACAAAACAAAATAAGGTACCTGAAAAAATGAAAATGATGAGATCTCAATAAATTATGTCATGACAGGAATAAGATGGAACCGAAATAAGATAGACGTCGACGATAATTTTTCATATCATGTTCCGTGCGCGATTATAAAGAAAATGAGGATCTTAAACCTAAATCTATTGAGTAATGTATGAATAGAAAATATTGGCCAAAATGGAAAGATAAAATAAATAAAGAGCTTAATTCTATTACGCAACGAAAAGTTTTTGGACCTGTAGTCCGTACACCAAACAGAGTAAGAACAGTGGGATACGGATGGGTATTTGTGCGCAAAAGAAACGAGAAAAATGAAGTTGTGAGATATAAAGCAATACTTGTTGCACAAGGTTTTACCCAAAGACCCGAAATTGATTATGAAGAAACATACTCTCCTGTGGTTGATGCAACTACATTCCGTTATCTAGTAAGTCTGGCAACACATGAAAAATTGGAGATGCGTCTGATGGATGTAGTTACCGCCTATTTATATGGTTCACTTGAGAATGATATTTATATGAAAATCCCATAAAGGTTTAAGGTGCCAGAAGCACAAACTTCTAATTCTCGTGAAGTATATTTGGTAAAATTAAATAAATCTTTGTATGGATTGAAACAATCTGCCCGTATGTGGTTCAATTGTTTAAGTACATTTCTTTTAAAAGAGGGCTATAAAAATGATCCATTAAGCCCATGTGTATTTATAAAAAGATCCGGATCAGAATTTGTGATAATTGTTGTTTACGTAGATGATTTGAACATAATTAGAACTCCTGGAGAATTGGAAAATGTCACTTCTTGTTTGAAAGAAAATTTTGAAATGAAAGATCTTGGTAAAATGAAATTTTGTTTGGGTCTTCAAATTGAGCACACCAAAAATGGAGTTTTTGTATATCAATCTAGTTATCTAGAAAAAGTGCTTAAAAGGTTTTATTTTATATGGATAACTCACATCCATTGAGTACCCCAATGGTAGTAAGGCATTTAGATGCCAAAAAGGACCAGTTTCGGCCTTTGAAAAACATGAAAAACTTCTTGGTCCCGAAGTACCATATCTTAGTGCTATTGGTGGACTGATGTATCTTGCTCATAATACGAGACCTGATATATCTTTTACTGTAAACTTATTAGCAAGATATAGTTCTTGCCCAACAAGAAGACATTGGAATGGAGTTAAACACATTCTTTGATATCTTCGAGATACAATGGATATGGGCTTATATTATTCAAATTCATCAAATGCGGAGTTAATTGGTTATGCAAATGTTGGATATTTGTCTGATCCACACAAAGCTCGATCCCAAACAGAGATTATAGCAATTCATGAGGCAAGCCGTGAATATATTTGGTTAAGAAATTTAACTCATCACATTCGTGAGAGTTGTGGTCTAACTTCTAACAGAGATGCTCCAACCATACTATATGAAGATAATGCGGCTTGTATAGCTCGATTCAAGGAAGGGTTTATCAAAGGAGACAGAACCAAACATATATCACCAAAGTTTTTTTTACTCATGATCTTCAAAAAGAGTGTGACATCAACATCCAGAAAATTCAATCAAGTAACAACTTAGCATATTTGTTCACTAAAGCGCTCCTTACATCCAAATTTGAAAACATGGTACAAAATATTGGAATGCGACGCTCTAAGGAAATCAAGTGATATGATGATCAGGGGGAGTTGGAAACACATTGTACTCTTTTCCTTAGCTATGTTTTTCCCACTGGGTTTTCTTAGCAAGGTTTTTAACGAGACAATTGTTCCAAATATCTATTATTAATCATGTACTCTTTTTCCTTAACAAATGGTTTTTCCCATGAGGTTTTACCGATGAAGGTTTTAACGAGGCATAATACAATCGTCATTCAAGGGGGAGTGTTATGAAATATTAGTTTGTGAATGACCATTGGATTCTCCATTTCTCCCATAACTCTCCATCATTATTTAGCATTAGTAACAATCATTTCAATGTGTTTTATGAATGTAATAATACACCATCATAAAGAACATAGATATTCAAACCTAAAGTTTTGAACTTTTGATATAAGTTTCAACTGAATTGTTTATATGCGTCGACTCGGTAAAAAAATCATAATTGTTTACGCCATCCGTGGGACTCGAACCCACGACTATGCGTCGACTCGGTAAAAAAATCATAATTGTTTACGCCATCCGTGGGACTCGAACCCACGACCACGTGGTTAAAAGCCACGCGCTCTACCAACTGAGCTAGAACGGCAAGACGATTTTTTAGATAATAGTCGATATTTAAACTAGAAATAATAAGTAAATTTTTTTCTATTAAATAGTCATTATCACCTCGTTATCAAGTAAAATTAAATTATATCATTTTGTGAAAAAATATCAACGCTTCCATGGCTAATTTATTCAAGTAAAAGTAGCTACAGTTATAATAATTTAGGGTCTGTTCGATTGAAATTTTCATAACCAAATGATAACAAATTCAATATAGCCAATTTTATTATTAATCCTCACCAAACGAAATGTTAATTTATTATAATTTCATTTTGTCAAAATGTTCTCATATAAGTAATAAACATTTTAGACGTATAAGTGTCTATTAATTTTTCTATGGGTAATTTCTTAACTTTTCACTCTTAAAAAATATTTTTTAATATTTATTTGCTTCTTAAAAAATCAGATGCTTATCTATCTCTAAATTAAACCAAAAGACAATTATACCCTAAAATTAAAACACAGGAACTTGCCAGTCCAGCCTTCGCCTCCACCTCTGTCACTTCTGCAGGTAAGGGTTTCCTTCTCTTTTTCCCCTGAAATCGAGTTCTGAAATCGATGTTGTAATGTCCTCTGAAAATCGATGGCTTTAATATATCAAGGTTGTTTTGATCTTTTTCTTCTTCTTCCTGAAATACCTTTTCTAGATGTATTAATGCTGAAATCTGATGTATTAAAGCTCATTGTGGTAATGTCTGGATACGAAAATATTATTTGATGCTTTTTTTTTTCCTGAAATCATATTAGTAGTTTGAAATGTCTATTTTTCTGAAATCAGATGAACACATCAGTACATATGATTTCAACATTTCAAACCTCGTTAAATCAAGTTTCAGATTTCGGCATCAAACAATAACATTTGAGGATTTGGATTTGTGTTCATTTTGATTTATGTTCGATTTGGATTTAAAATGATGTTTATGATTTTTTTAATAATTATTTAAGAAAATTTTTTGGTTTTTTATATAATTAGACGTTTGAATTCACTAAAAAGTAATAGGGAAGGGTAAAATGGTCACCAACCAACATGTTAAAATCTTAGAAATTTCATACCAAAAGATAACAAATTCAATATAGCAAATTTTATTATTAATCCCTACCAAACGAAATGTTATTTTTTTTAAGACAAAACTACAAATTTGGTCCATGTGGTATTCAAAAAACTTTTGATAAGGTTCAAAAAGTTTTCAAAAATCAAGGTTTTTCTTGATATTTGGTCCAAAAAAACTTAAAATGACAAATATGTCATTTTGATTTCTTTTTTCCTTTTTCTATAAGTATTTTAATGCTATATTGATTTAAAAAAAAAACAAAACAAAAAAAGAATTTTCCACCCCCACCCCCACCGTACTCTCTCTCTCTCTCTATCACCCCTCTCTCTCTCTCTCTCTCTCTCTCTCTCTCTCATTTCACTGGTTACTCCACCAACTTCTGATGAACGTACATACACACGACAATCTCTATCACAAAAGGAAACCCACAAAATCCAATCTACAATTGATTTATGTATGTGTGTATGTGTAGGTTTCCTTCTGGAAATTGTTCCCCCCACAAGATCCAAATTAAAAAGCTTTTTATGCCTCTTTTCTGAAACTGAAATCGAAGTCAACACCCGCCTCCCATCCCTCATATCTACTTCTCATTTTACTCTGAACCGAAGGAGACTGAATCGATGTCATCATTGAAGCATTTCAAGTGGTAGTTTTCAAAGGATTTTGTTGTTGTTGCAAATTGGTTCTTGAGAAATCAAGTTTTCTGATGATTCTGATTTCTTGGATGTGCTGAGAACGGCTAGAGCTTCAAATTTAGGGACGCTGGTTGTTGGTGATTAGGATATAGCACTGGGGAGAAAAGCTGATTTGTGGGTTCCATTAACTAGGGTCAAGAATGGGGAGCTTACAGAATAGTATTTGGTACTCACAACCAGAAATGATTTCATATGAATTTTTATGTTCATACCCAGAAATCTAGAGAGATAAAGAGGCTACAGTCGGTTTAGGTGGGGTGAGTGGGCGATGGATGCCGACAATGGGAGAGATAGCTAGAGATTTGCAAGGTTGCTGGAGGTGGGTGATGATGGATATGGTCTGGTTTGTTCATCTAGAAATTGTAGGTGAAATCTCGGGAGGAAGAATAAGATAAGAGAGAGAGAGAGAGAGAGAGAGAGAAAGAGAGAGTAAAAAGAGAAAAGGAGAGAGAAAGGGGGAGGGGTACGACGGAGAGGAATGAGGGTGTTGTTTTATTTTTTATTTTTTTAATAATTATTTAAATTCTGAAATAAATAAAAAATGTAAACAAGAAATAATAAGGGTAAAATGGTCTTTTCATATTTATTTGGACCAAAACCACAGAAAAGATTTGATTTTGGACTTTTTATGCAAGTCAAAAACTTTTTAGATCATATCTAAAGTTTTTTGCAAACCACAAGGACTAAATTTGCAGTTTTGTCTTTTTATAATTTAATTTTGCAAAATGTTCTTTTTAGAAGTATAAGGGGGAGTTTTAAAAATAATGAGAATTTAATACCGTAATTTACTGATGTAAAATGGGACAAGCGACCCAAGCCGCATATCAAAAATACCCGACTAAAATCGACAACAAATCCGCAGTCCAGTTCCGCCGTATTCCGTCGCCCCCGGCTTCCTAGTCATTGGGGGTTTCGACGTCGCGCCACCTGTCCAGCGTTTTGTCTCGATCGTCACTCTTTTCTTTCATCACTCTTCAACACTTCATTAACCAATCGTAAGTAAAACCCTTTACAAATGACATGCAGTAGGATTTACGAATCATTTGCTACTTAATTGATAATTTGGATTTTAGAATTGACTTGGTGATTTTTATTCTTAGTAACGGTTTAATTATTTATACAGTTAGCTGTTCAGTCGAATCCGCTAAATGTATACTCCCCTAGAAAAAAACGAGTAGAAATTGCAATGTGTATACTTGGATTAAGAACATAATAATGTTGTTTGTGTGTATGCTTATTTTTATTTGGTTATGGACTTATAAGTTGGATGTTTTCTAGGGTAGATAACTGAACATATACTCTGTCAGCTGTTTGCAATCTCTATCTGTCTGCCATCTTAGGATGTTGAATTTTATGAATGTTTAAAGTAAAAATCAGTATTGCATGGACAATATATCAATTTCTTTGTTCTCTGTACACTTTATGCCTTCATTGTCTTAACTTTACAAATTACATGTGAAATGATTGTTTGAAGTAATGTCAACTGGAGCCTACAGTCAACTGGTTTTCAGTCAGAGCCCTGCTTCCCCTCGTTTTTCTTCTTTACACCAATCAACGATTGGCTCCTTCAGAGCTCTAGCATCCAGGTTTTTCTTCCAAATGAAATCCCCAAATCTGTTTTTATTTGCCTCTTTAAACTTCTTGTTTAAGCTGAATTGATTGTATATACTCTTATATAAATAAACTGATCCTAGTCCCTCTACTTTTGCTTGTCTACAGGCAATTATTAAGTAAAAGTCACACAAGTTTTTTACCAGGTATAACTAATACTGTATCACTACAGAAATTCTATAATTCATATTCTCTAACTTGCATTCACATGTAAATTGTATTAATGTGGAACAGTTTTCTTCTTCCAAAAATCTTAACCTAGCTGTTTCATTGTAGTACGACTTTCTAACACTGTTAGAAGTGCAATGAAATCATATAAACTCTCTGAGCTTACACCAACTGAGGTTGACAATCTCAAGGCTCGACCCCGAATCAATTTCTCTTCCATTTTCAGCACAGTGAGTCTCTTTCTGTTTTTTTTTTTTTTTTTTTTTTTGGGGAAAATGACTTTCCATTTTCAGCACAGTGAGTCTCACTGACAAAATTGTTTTACTTCAGGTCCAGCCAATTGTTGATGATGTTCGCAACAGAGGAGATGCTGCTGTTAAAGAGTTATTACACTTTTTTCTTTTTAATGAATGGAGTGTTGGTGTTTCTTTTTGATTAAATGTTTGCACCAAATGATGTTCTATGTCTTGTTTTGCAGTTATACTTTACGCTTTGACAAAGTTGAATTAGAAAAGATTATTGTAAATGTGAATGAACTTCCAGATCCAGAGGTACTTGTATAGTTGTATAGTTGTACAAAGTATAAAGTATAAACACACCAACACCTTAAAGTATGCATTTTTATCATCTGGAATAATCTATCTCTATTTTTAACCTTGCTTCAGCTTGATGAAGCTGTTCGTGAATCGTTTGATGTGGCATACAGCAACATCTATGCATTCCATGCTGCACAAAAACCAGTGGAGAAAGTTGTCGAGAATATGAAAGTAAGTTGTGTACATTTTATGAATTTAGTCCCTCAACTTTCGAGTTAATATCGTTCTTTTGTGAGTTTTTAGGGTGTGAGATGCAAACGAGTGGCAAGAAGCATTTCTTCTGTTGGACTTTATGTTCCAGGTGGCACTGCAGTTTTACCCTCAACAGCTCTCATGCTTTCCATTGTAAGAAATAATAGTTATCTCCATTATTAATTTATTTTATTAAAATAAAATGGTTGTAATTTGAGTTTTTGTTTATTATGTCCACCAGCCAGCACAGATTGCAGGGTGTAAAACGATAGTGCTTGCAACTCCTCCCTCTAGTGATGGAAGCATATGCAAGGTATTTGTTTCCATCTGGATGAGTTAAGTTATTTTTATTTAAATTATTTACAAAATTTAAGAATGACAATGTGTAGGAGGTGTTATATTGTGCGAAAAAAGCTGGTGTGACTCACATTCTTAAAGCTGGTGGAGCTCAGGTTCTCTACAACACCACACCATTTTTACTTTTTTGTGAGAAAGTTGTTTTTTTTTTTGGTGATAATTTGAAGCTTTTGTAGGCCATTTCTGCTATGGCATGGGGGACAGCAACGTGTCCTAAGGTTGAGAAGATTTATGGCCCTGGAAATCAGTATGTGACAGCTGCAAAAATGATTCTCCAAGTATGTGATCTCATTTGTGGCAAAATGAATAAATAATTAACAGATTTTATATTTAAAAAAAAAAAAAAAAAGTAACAATTTTTTGTATATTGACAGAACAGTGAGGCTATGGTATCCATCGACATGCCTGCAGGACCATCTGAAGTGCTTGTGATTGCTGACAAATATGCTAGTCCGGTTCACATAGCTGCAGATCTGCTTTCTCAGGTTACTTTTTCAAATACCCTGTTATTATTAATTATTAATTATTATTTTTGTAAAATTGATGTTTAATTTTCTACTTTTAGGCTGAGCATGGGCCAGATAGCCAGGTGGTTTTGGTGATTGCAGGAGATGGTGTGGATATAAAAGCCATTGATGAAGAAATCACCAAGCAATGTAACAGTCTTCCGAGAGGAGACTTTGCTTCAAAAGCTCTTAGCCATAGCTTTACTGTATTTGCACGCGATATGGTAGAGGTTAGTAGTTTTTCTTTTCTTTTCATTTTATTTTTTATAATACGTTTTTGACTTTTAACAACGTGAATCTTCTGGGTTTTCAACTCTCAGGCGGTTACTTTTTCTAACATGTACGCACCCGAACATCTGATCATTAATGTTCAAGACGCGGAAAAGTGGGAAAGTTTTATCGAAAATGCAGGTGAACATCACTTGATACATCCGCCATAAAAAAAAAAAGGTAGTGATAATTTTTAATTTTTAATTTTGGTTTGCAGGGTCTGTGTTTTTAGGGCAGTGGACTCCAGAGAGTGTGGGGGACTATGCTAGCGGGACGAATCATGTGCTTCCCACTTATGGGTATGCACGGATGTACAGCGGGGTGTCTTTGGACTCTTTTTTGAAGTATATAACCATCCAGTCTTTGACAGAGGAAGGCCTTGCAAAACTTGGTCCTCATGTGGCAACCATGGCTCAAGTCGAAGGCTTGGATGCTCATAAGAGGGCTGTTACTCTTCGCCTTCAGGACATTAAAGCCAGACAACAGGTTGTTTAGAACCCGTGTTGTGTTGTGTTGTTTGTTTTTTGTATTGGAAGAATGTTCAATTTTGAGTTGGATCAATCATTAGAACCCATAAATTTCAATAATTATGCATCTTTCCTTTAAGGTATTTAATCCAGTAAGATACACAAATTATGGCTTCATATAAAACAAACTGTTTAAATCCTAACTTTTTAACAATTTGTACTTACTTATTTTCTTCCATTGGCCAAGTGTATCCTGTATTTCTCATGTTCTTTTTAACATCACTTATCCGTACGAAACTGAAAGAAAAATTAAAAAACATTGCCAGTAATGAAGCCAAAATTTGATCTCAAAATTTCTTTTCTGATTCTACTAGAATTACAGTAACGAATGGATCCATTTGTGCATGAGTATATATATCATTACATAATCATTGCCAGTAATGTAGCTAAAATTTCTTTTCTGGTTTCTAAAACTAAAAGCATGATACGTGAAAGGACATGGCAGGAATATGAATGATATCCTCAAGCTTTCCAAACTCGTACTGATCCATCCACAGATGCAGTCATCACACAGTTATCTTTTGGGTGATAACTAACGCTTGTTACCTGCCAACAAAAAGTAGAATTTATTTGGTCTCTCATTATAACTATTGTGTACATAATAATTTTAGAAAGAAAAGAGAAAAGAGAAAAGAGAAGGTGTTAATTACCACCGAGGAGTGAGCACGAAAACTTGAAACCACAGATGCATCCACCAGATCCCAGAAAAAGAGACGCCCATCTTCAGATCCACCAACCACATGAGCATCACTGTTGGTAAGACAGCAATCCATTTTGAATGACTGGTCACAACACATTATAGTTAGTTAGTTACTCTTAACAACCTAACAAAAAGCAACTGCAAAAAGAGATACATACCTTGCATGTATGGCCTTTATATTCTTGTAGTAATTCACCACTAGTTCTGCAAACCAAACAAGAAGAACAATTTTTATAACAGACTCATCCTTCCTTTTGGTTAAAACTTAAAAGAGGTGTGAAGTAGAAATTCACCTGTCCAAAAGGCGAAGAGTAGAATCCAGACAACTGGCTAATACACAGTTACCATCATTTGATAGAGAGATACAGTTTACAGGTTGCCCCAAATCATCAGACAATTCCCTGGAAGCAGAAGAAACTTCAAAGTTCAAACATGCTACAAAGTTTTTCATTTCATACTCATGATGATTGTCACATGTCATACCTACCTACCAATCCGGATGTCAAATGTGCGTACAGTTCCATCAACACTTCCAGCAATGATTTCAGTTTTTGTTAAACAAACAGACATCACGCTGTCTAGAAAGGTGTCAACGATCTGTTAATCAATTAAAACTATCATCAATTTTTGATAATATAAATATAAAAATAACTTAGCAGGCATGTAGATGTAGGAAAGGGAAAGGGAAAGAAAGCTAAACCTGAATTGGCTCAGTGCTGTGAGATCTACAGTCCCAGGCACGCAAGGAACGATCATACCCTGCTGATACAACAACAGATGAATATTCATTGAACTTTACAGCATTCACCTGCACAAAAATGGTGTTATATGATTGTGAAATTATAAATATGTGTTATGTAATTGATAAATTGGTTTGTTGGAGAAATTACATACCTCACTGTCGTGACCTCGAAACTTTCTGATCACACGCCCAGTTGATACATCCCAATAGAAGACTTGACGATCACCCCCACATGAACAGATTTTTGAATTATCCCTACAATCAAATTAATCATAACAAGGAACATTCAGCCGAATAACTAGGGTTAAGTATAATGAAGAAGAATAATAAGAAAACAAAGCATCGGAGGAATTTGTATGTGGATGAATAAACACAGTAGCGAGGATAACTTACGGTGTAACGTGGACGTCTCGAACTTCACGAGCATGAGCTTTGTAGGTCTTAATATGAATACCCCGGTGAGGATTCCATAGGCGAATAGTCCGATCTTTGCCTCCGGTGAGACAATAATTTCCATCTTTGTTGAACCTTGCCGTTAAAACTGCACCTTCGTGCCCCTTCAACACCTGCGCCTCGTTCTTTGGTAAATCTTCGGCGCTCATCCTACTCCGGCGACCACCGTCACTGGCACTGCTTCATTCACTAGTGTAGGACTGTAGGCGACCGAGCGTTACAATGGAAAGAATTTGGACCGGCCTGGTACCTTATGCAACATGGGCTCTTGTCACTTGTGGACTTGGGCCTTATGAGTTGTGATATTTAGCCTTTGCCAAAAATTGGCCCAACATACGTTGTTTTTTGGTTTTCTTTGTTTTTTATTTTTATTTTCATTACATTTTTTTTTTTTAAATTTAGTATTATTATTGACCTTTCTCCAATGATGTAGATGCAATGTTAGCGTGAGGTATACCTAAATGAATAATGTTACCAGTTTTTACTCGATTGAAATATACTCCAATGATATAATATAAAACTAAAAATGCTTAATAGTGATTACAACTAAAAGATAAGCGATCTAAAAAGGTAAATTGCTTAATATAGATTGTTATAACCGATAGATCTTTGAAACATAATATTTTACTAATAAATGTAAAATACATTATTGTATTAGTAATGTTAACAAGTATAAAGTTAAAAAAAAAATACATTATTATATACTGCATTTATTGCTTTATTTTACAAGAAGCAAGGAGAGATGTGACATGCACCAAGATTACAAAAAAAGACCGACAAATATGTAAGCAGGTCATTTTCGAATCCAACAATATCCTATAATTTTAATTTAGTTCACATAATCAAAATACTTTTTAGGCCGAAAAATATATCCATCAAATTATTTTAAGTATTCATTTTGTTCAGTTGTTCTGAAATAAATATAGCGATAATTTTCGAAGTTGTCTACACTCTACATATGAATCATGGATGCAAAATTGTTTATAACCATGATATATTTATTCATCGCGTGGATCTTATTTAAAAATTTTAATTGTTATTGTTTTTAATAAAGAGTAAGTTTTGATATTTAACTCAGATTATTATAATATATTATGTATTTATTTTGAAAGTAATGGTTGATGTTGTTAACCAAAATGGAATAGGGGCGGACGGTAACCCAAAGTCCCAAACTAACCTTCAAAAAATTTAAGTGTAGTCGATTTTTTTGGGAATATGACTTAGGAGGGTAATTATCTTTTATTCGTGTTCACATATTGATAACTTTTTTTTTGTACATAATAAAGCAACTAATTTGTTTTAACTGTTTAAATTACACCAATATTACTGGCTAATACATGTTTTAACCGGTAACTCAAAGGAAAAATGACTTAGAAGGGTAACTACCTCTTATCCGTGTTCACATGTTGGCAACTTCTTATTTTTTGTACATAAAAAAGCAACTAATTTATTTTAACTGTGTAACATCCCAAAAATCATGACCAAATATTTCGTTTTTAATTTAATACTAAAACCATAAATATCAAACCATTAATTTAATACTTCGACATCGGGCCCTGCCGGACATCAGGCCCTGCCTGACATCGAGCCTCTCTCGGTATACAGGTTTGTCTCTCTTAGGCCTCACCTGTCTCCGGGACCCGCCCGCTAAACACATACAATCATATAACATGGTAACACATAAAAAAAACATACTCTACTAATAATGAGATACGGAACATCGTCCGTACTCAGCTAGTGATGAGACATGGGACCTCACCCACACCCACCTCCTTACCAGGCACATACAAGTATCACACAGACAACAAGTATAATCTAACATGCAAACATTCCTCGGGCACCCGCCCGACATCGGACCTTGGTCTGGAATAACATACTAGCATAAAATACCTGGGGCTAACCCCCGGATCTTCCTACTCATAGACTACATGGGCTGACATTGTGGCCTTAGACCCATTCACACAGTGAGGAGACTCACCTTGCACTGCTGAAGCCCTGGCTGGAACTAGTTGAGTACGGACGAAGTTCCGTATCTCATTATTAACAGAGTATGTTTCTTAGGACAGAGATATGGTAGAGTATGTTTCTTTATGTGTTAGCATGTTATATGATTGCATGTGTTTAGTGGGCGGGGCCCAGAGAGAGACAGATATATACCGAGCGGGGCTCGATCCCAGACGGGGTCTGATGCCGGGTGGGGCCCGATGCTGGAATATTAAATTAATGGTTTGACAATTATGGTTTTAGTATTAAATTAAAAACGAAATTTTTGGTCATGATTTTTGGTATGTTACACAGTTAAAACAAGGTAGTTGCTTTCTTATGTACAAAAATTAAGAAGTTGCCAACATGTGAACACAGATAAGAGATAGTTACCCTCCTAAGTTATTTTTCCTTTGAGTTACCGGTTAAAACAGGTATTAGCCGGTAATATTTGTGTAATTTAAACAGTTAAAACAAGTTAGTTGCTTTATTATGTACAAAAAAGAAGAAGTTGTCAATATGTGAACACGGATAAAAGATAGTTACCCTCCTAAGTCATATTCCCGATTTTTTTTGAAATTCTTTTTAGTGTGTTACCTTTAAAATTTATGTGTGTTACCTTTGGTTATGCTAATCCACTCTCGTCTTATTATTTTTATGGTAAATGGAGTAATCTAACGAATCTAAATGAACTATTTGAAAAAAAGAAAAAATGAACCATTTTTTTTTAAATAACCATTTTGTCAGGAATATCTCATTATAGAGGGGTCTCCAAAACACCCGGGTAGGATCTTATACTATCCTTCCATAATAGAGTTTTTTTTTTTTCTAATTTTTAATTTTTTTTTTAAGTGTAAAATGTGTTTTGTTCTTTTTGTATAAGTTTTGTTTTTATAAAATCTAAAATTGAATTGTAATCTTAAAATCAACAAAAAACTAACAGATATATAAACTTAAGAGATTTTTTTAAGTGATATTACAATGTTCAAATGACCCTTGTCCTTGTACCCCCAAAAAAATTCTGCCAATCGTTTACGATATGATAGTTCATAGACCGTTTTCCCCCTCTGTAGAATACGATTTCCCGGAGACCAACATCTCCAGGAACCAACACAAAAACACCCCACAATCTCATCTATTATCAATTTGTAGTGGTACGCCCGAGGGCTTTTCGAGGGTCATACTGAAACTCTCAAGTGGGGTCACATTTGTTGGTTCGATACCCTAATAGTCGATACTCATTAGTAGTGTGTGGATGCGGTCTCGCATACCTATAAACCATTCCTCTTCTTCTGGAAAATATCTGCTCATCCAACAACTATCATCTATAATCATTTGAATGTCTTCAAATCTAAAGCATCCAAAAACCAATGTATATTGATTGGGATGTAAAGCTACACAAAATGTTGAAATTAATTAATCATAAAATAACATTATATTACAATATACTATTACTTAGGTAATGTAATCCAAACACAATTATACTATATCACACTATGCTAAGTTGGATAAACGGATCCATCAATCATATCACTCTAGTCAAATACATCAATGTTGAAGGCTCTCCACACAACCGTCCACTGAGCATCATACCCTCTACACTTTATCAGTAATGAGATCCACAACATGATGTGCTTCCAAGCAAAAAAATTTCAGTAATAAGTATGGTTATTAGAAACGTAGTATGTAATGAGCACACAATTATACAACTTACATCACATTCCAACCAATATATGTAACTATCCGCATATAAGTGTGCCCAAAACTCAATCGTCGAAATACCGGTCAAATAATAGTGTGCAAACAACAACGAAACATCTCGTTGTTTATATACACTATGTACGACATGTTCTAAAAGATTATCCAACAGTGTTGGTTGTTATCGTGCAACACATTGCCTTTTTATTTGTATCCGTGGGGACTTATATCATATGGACATAACTTTTTAGCGCATAAAACGCCTAAGAGGTGTTGCCGACAACGTTTTATATTCATCCCGCGAAATCTCTTTTATATCTGAAGATTGAATACATGGAGACAGCTGCTCAGGGCCGTGATCTAGCAGTTGTTCGGGTGTGCCTAACCCATAACCATGCTCTCATATTTCTTTGTCTTTGCACTTTGTGGTACCGACATCTTGCAAGATAAGTGCATGTACGATTCAATAATGTTTAATTATAAACGATGCAAAACATAAGGACCATAAAAGTTAAATAAAAACCGTATGGGAGTGAAATAATTAACAATATACCTCCACCTCCTTTGAGGCATTAATAAAATTTAGAAGCATGGCTAAAGTAGCGTCATGCTCTGCTAAACGCTTATCTTGTGACCTCAACTACGCTAGGCATTCACTAAGCTCGTTTTACAATTGACAAACCTCGTTTGCAACCCAAGAATAATTTGGTTATTATCGGTAGATGGTTCAGTGATCGACGATGTTGGTGGTGGCTGGTGAGATCGGAAATATGTATGTGCCTTCTTTTGTCGACACTCATACGTAGGGGAGTGTTTGGATGATGATGTTAGGGAAGGTGTCCTATAAACTTCTATGTGGGGTAAATCAGGGTCATCAATTCAAGCTGAGATAACTATCTACCCTTCAACACATCTCTCAGCTTCTGTCGGCTATAACTTCTATACAAGTCTATTATCATGCTAACAAAATTATAAAATTATAAACAAAACATAAATTATACATATAAAGGAAAATTTAAAATATATAATTAACCATATGTCATCGATTTTTATAAATTGGTTGCAATAAGTCTTTTATATAGGCCTCAGTTTCGACCATGCAACAACATGATGGATCACATTCTCTTGTTGTGTACCAAACAAACTGCTCACATGAACAGTCTCAAGATCCATATCTGAAAAAAAAAATCATGTATTAGAATCTTAGCAAACAAAAAAAAAAAGGATAAATGAAAAATCATGTACTTACTTTAAAAGCGTATGAAAAACCATTTATGGTGTAGGTCATTTTTTTGAGGTTGTTTCTCTTTCGGTTCGACCGGATGTATATGTATGTCAATGTTATTGAATACAGCAATTAACTGTGAGTACAACTGAGCCCAAATTATCATCTCCCATGGATATTTGCGACAAAAAATTCTCAATTAAATTTCTAAAAAATATTAGTAAGGATAAATAATTTCCCTTAATTATAATCTGTAATAAATTAACAACATAATACATGTTGAATTCATTAAAGTCGGATACCAA